GTGATTAAGAGACCAAAAAACCTTAACTCAAATCAACATATTAACAGGAAGAAGGGATCACATTGTTGGAAAAGATTAAGTATGGTAGATATAATTTAACTTAAAACCTGCTAAGTAAGTTTTAAAATGTTTCCTTTGTTACAACTGCCTTTTCCCTCTCCTATAAACATCCCTTATTTTCTCATGTCTATTGGATCCCCCCGATGGCATGCAGTCAGCAATTTTTGTCATATGAAAAGACTGAAACACAACTTCAAAAATTCAGTTAAGCATTACATTTTCTTTCAGGACAAAGTAAAAAAATAGTATAGATTTTCATTTACAGGGACATTCACCTTTACTGAAGATGTCTGCTACTGATCATGCTAACTTGAGGTCAAAATAACAACTACTTCTGGATCCAACTAGTTCTAACTAAACCCACAGTCTCACTGAAGTCAAGTGAACGTTCAAAGGGTCAATGAGTTCCCTTATGAAAGGATACACATAGAAGAACTGATTGCAAGACTGGACACTATGAATATTTGCTCCACAGCTATCCAGGGGAAAAAACAGATATATTTTACACAGAAGTCACATAGTTTCAGTTCTCCATTCTTATACACGATATGGCTGAATACTGACCTGAAAGAAGTGAGCCCTGAAGCAGTCCTTGAACGCTGCCTCTATCCACTAAACTGGCAGTAACTTACACTTTACATTCTATTACAAGTAAAAACGAGATTCCAATTCCAGTTAAACTGATTTAAATCTAAGACTATTCCACTGATTTGCCAACAGTTTTCAAGTGTAAATATGGACTGACTCAAAACAATCTTCTGTAACATTACTGGTGCCATCATTTCTGGGACAGAACCAAGTGAATTTGTTACATTCCAGTGTACACAGCCTAACTTTCCATTCTAAGAAGTCACCTCCAACTTGTTCCTGACAGGAGGAAAACAGAAAGCCTGGATTTTTTTAACCTACGAACAAATCAGCTCTGAGAAAGCAATAAACTTTCAAATGGCACTTAAGCCGCATGCTGGGTGGCCCAAAATTTTACAGGTTATTTATAAAGTATGATGGTTGTTAGTAGCTACAAATATTTTCACACCTTAAATAGATGTACATAACAAACTGAATTCCTATGCATTAAAGCTTCCAGAATAACATGCCAAGAAAACGATTTTCCATAAAAATGTCCAAAAACTTCACAAAGAAGCATGTATGTACTCCTTTCACTTATTCAAAACCCCTGATCTAAAAGAGAAGCATTCACTTATAATCAAAGTCTTTACACAAAATGAGATTACACAAATTTTAAGGCACATCAAGTGTTGTGACAATGCTTTGGCCAGTGTTTTTAAGTAACAGTATGTAAATCTGCATACTCAGTACTCACTCACTAAACTCCAAAACCAGATGGGGTCTGAACTATCTCAGACTTGACAAAGTGTTTACTCCAATGTCCTTGTGTTAAACTAAGCTGGAAATCTCATAGTGGAAAAACACCAGAACCCTCCTCTCTGTGAAAAAAATTGAAGTATCTTTTAATTTCAGAGCACAAAATGTGGGTGTAAGATAAAGCAAGGACACAACTATCTCTCTCCACAGACGATGAGAAACTAAATGTTAAAATGCACAAAATATTCCTGAATCTCCCTGTGGGGAAGGAAAACAAGGAGGAAAGGAAAGGAAGCGGAAAAACAAACAAACAAAAAAACCCACAACCAAAAAAAATCCCCAAACCAAAAACAACAAAAAAAAAGAAGACTCATTAACTGAGGTCTAGTCAGAGGTATTAAGAATAACAGAAGCCACATGATACATTTCTTGTTAATCCATGAGAATGGAGGCCTAACTACCTGTGATTTGAAGGACAGAAAATGCCACACTCCTAAATCAGTTCTAGTTTTCTCTTTAAAAAGGCCTGGGATGAACATCTTGCTATTTTCAACCCTTAAAAAAACTCAAGTCTCAAACTAGTTAAATACTATAATGCCACTGTATTTATTGCTGCCATCCTCGGAAGGAAAAAGTAAAATAAAATCAAATATGCAGAAACCTTTTCCAAGCCAAGTTTCCTCTAAATAGCAGATTCAAGAGTATCAAGCACTAGGCCTCTGACTTCTACATAAGCTTGGACATGCTTTTAAGTGTGGTCCAGGGCCATGTTTACAGAGATCACCCTCTCGAGTATGCAAGCCCCTTGCATGGCAGCAGTTTTCAATCTCATTTCTTCTCACGATAAGCTTGGCAGCGCAACTGAGAAAGATCTTTCAACAACTGCCATCTTTCTAGTAAGTCCAGAAGGAGCAATGACAACCAGAAGGGCAGACTGTCCAACCACCCCTGTCAGGGCCACCAAGACCTTCGTGGCTTGCGGCCGGGGGGGATGGACAGAGGGGAGAGTAGGGTGATAAAGGGGGCTGGCAGAAAATAAATTAAGCGGGGGGGGGGATATGCAGGCCTCAAAACTGCAAGCAAAGCACACACAAACGACGGAAAATCTAAATTAAAAAAAAAAACCTCAACCCACCACCCCACCTTGCTGCCAGACCCCTACGAAGTCTCCAGCCGGCCCCCAACCCCCCCAAGAGAATTTCTGGGGAAAAAGCTCCCCCAAGTACCGCAGGAAGAACGCGCCCCCCTGGCCGCCGCGAATCCTCCCCAGCCTTCCTCCCACCAACCCCCCAAGGCGGGGCAGGCGGCTCCCTCCACC